ATGGCCTCAAAAATGCCACTGAAAAACTTAGACTCTCAAAATTAGAGCAATTTAACTTAGCTTCTTGGAAAACTCTTACACAGAATTTTCCAGGTCCAAGCTATGGAACAACTACAAATGCACTACAAGTTTGACAGCCTAGAACAAATTTGAGTCAGTCATGATAACTTAAAATTTAATAGCAACATGCAAATAGGTACTCTGCATCATTAGAAACATTAAAGAGATTAAATACATAGGTGAAAACTTTTTTTTAGAAATAAACACACTAGTTATTCTGTCAGTTACAAATGTATGTCATTCACCCAACAAAGCTTTACATGCATACAGAACCAGTTTCCCAGAAGGGCTAAGCAATACTTGGCAGCTATGGCTGCATTAGAAACTGCACGGGCCAGTAAAACTGGACCTGTACAGTGAAAGGACACAACCTTAAGGACACATTCCATATTATACATGTTCCAGAGGGTTTCTACTTTGGACTAGCTCTAAGAATTAATCTCAAAAACTCAAGGCTTATTAATAGTTAGAGTGTATTAGGCACATTACTACAGTGCATCTTTCACATTATTTTGTGCTAAAGGAATTCAGTCCAGGTCACTCCCCAGGATCAGTCTGCAGTGTAAACCAAAGTGAAGACAAACAGCAGATTTACTTCAAAACAGCATTGCTGATCCAAATACAAATACTAGGATAACACAGTCAGTGCTGGATGTTGCTTATTAGAGGAAAAAAAAAGTTCAAAGCAAAGAAAAATCTAATTTCTGAGGGCCTGGAGTTGAATTTAAGAAGAATTACTGTGATATAAAATTAGCCTATGAGATGGAAGAAAAAGTATTTCAAATTTGATGTGAGACCTTTACAGTCAACTCTATGAAATAAAAGTCTATCACACCCATGTGTGCATGAATCACTTTACTGGAACGGTATGCATGTGAAACCGAAAGCAGAAGTATATTTTTATGAAAAACTAGAGTCAGACGTCTATTTATCAAAGCTTTAGATATTTTAGTCAGTAATATTCAATAAATGCCTCAGTACTGGCACACAGCAATGAAACAAATTAGCAGAGAATCTCAACTCTTGTCAGATTGCAAGTGGGAACACAAATATAGAGGAAGTATTTGGTAAGTTTGAGCAGTCTGAGTACACTGGTTAACGGTTAAAATAAAAATCTATTACTCATAACACTGAGACACTGCTGGTAAAGTGGAATAATTATGGTGATAGTAATCACTGTTGCCTCAAGAACATCCAAACTTTCCCTGCATTAAGTCTTTTGTCATCCAATATCATCTAGCCAGCAGGTTCTTTTAGTGCTCCCCATCATGAAAAGAGTTAAGCACAGAAAAACATGAAGAAATTTGAATCACATTCTTGAAGATGGATACTTTTTACTTTTTTCTCACAGAAGTATTAGTTGGTGAATATGGTTTCTTCAGATACCAACTTGGAACTGCATTGCTATCCAGCAACCACAAGATGATCTGCACCAGAGGGAAAAGTCACTTATAGAACTTGACCCTTAATATTTCTACTAGACCTGTCCATCCTCCTCCCCATCCCATTAAAAAAAAAATTCTAGTGTATTTCCATCACCTAAAGATGATAGTTATTATAGTTGAAGTACAGTTATCAGTCTCAATTTCATATTAAGTTGTTTATTAATACTATTATTATTGTTTTTATTTTCTGTCTGATTCGAGAAAGCTAAATATTAATAATTTGTTATTCTAGGTTACAGTTAGTAACCAGTAAACAAAGGTAAAAGCATTCCAAATACTTAGTAGATGACAGTCCTACATTTTCTAAAATGTGGCCTGATTCTCTAAATGCAGTTCCATGTCCACTGAATTTCTCTCTTATATTCCATGGTTTATTCAAGAGCAGAGGATTTAATTTAGAAAGTCTACCCACAGTCCAGGCAATCATCACACCATAACCTCTAACACACTAAATGAATATTTTCCTTAGAGCAGAGTGTAATTGTCACATTCCCTCCTCGGTACCATTATTTTGGTACATACCAGTTGAGAAAATACCTGATCACAGCCAAATTGCAGTGGTCTGACTATAGATATGGCACTATTCTGACTACATCACACAGGTAGAAGCAGTCATAATTTGGTTCTAAGGGCAACGGGCTACAGAAGACCAAGGGTATGACCAGGAGCTTGAGCAAGGGGGCATAAGTAGAGCTACACTTTTGGAAGGATGTGGTAACAATTAACATGTTTGCAGAAATTAGGTTAAATGTTTTATCCTGCAGTGTGTATCTTAGTGCAGCAGACTTCACTGACACAGATAACAGTTTAAAGACTGAAGTTGAGTTTTCTCATTGCCAAAAAAAAAGACACTGATTCTATTTGTTCTCTCTCCCAGCACACTAACTGTGGAGGGGCAAAGTCCCATATTCTCACTAATATTTATACATTAATTAAAAAATGAACTAACAAGGAAGAACAGTGACAAGGGAGACATTGAGACACCATGTTGGTTAAAGTAATACAAAAAAATTCTTTTCAACTGTGAAATCCAGAGCATGCCACACCTATGCAGCAGGCCAAACTGTGTCTCAAACCCACAGTTTTCACAATGTCCGCAACCTGATGAACATACTCGCAATCTGCCTAAGCTTGACTACTTCTGTCTGATTTTTAATTAGGTTGTGGGATAGCTATTTTTGAATATTCAAAATGCAATTGAAATTTCATTTCCTTTCCTGGAAAAATACAATTCATCTTCAGCATCGGAATGCATATGATAGCAAGCAAAAGCAACACTTTGAATATCTGGATTTCTTGACGATACCTTACAGAACTACAGAAAAGAAGTTTGTTCTCAGGATATGAGGGGTCTATACCACTTAAACAAATACAGAAAGTACATTAAAGTATGGTGTTACAAATCAGAAATTCCTTCCCACTAGAATGCCCTTAATACTTTAATATTCATATAACATAAGCCATCTTTTTATGATAAAGGAATCTTTAATTATAGGTGGACACAGATTTCAGGTATTTCACTGTGAATATATGGAGTCATTTCCAGAAATAATAGGAATTTCAATCACAGCTTTTAAAATTATTGCCAAATTCTACAGAAAGCGTAATATCAGATGTCCTGGGGGTAGAATAAAAGGATAGGGGCTGTTGAAAGTCTTCGACTTAGTCTTAGATCTTCAGCCCTGGAATATCTGAACTACCTTACCCTGTAACCACACACTGCAAAGCTGACAACAGAAATGCTGGAATATAGACTGGAAATGTTATGAACTCACCTCTTCCTCTTTCCACCCCCATTTCCCCAACAGACTTAAGCTAGAAAAAAGCAACAAACATCCACAGTTATTCTTAAATCTAAGTTCATGGGAATAAAAATTATGTATTTGAATGTTGAATTCTGTTTAAAAAACAGCCTTGTCTGTATGTGAATTGTACATATTCTTTAAAATTGAGCACGTGCCTTAAAAGGTGTGGCCAGTGAGCAAACCTGAATCATTACACTTGCAAGTACCTTACTGATCCCTAAGAAAGCTGTCAACTGTAACTGTGTCATTCAGATTTTTTGCACATAACTTGTCAGTGAAGATAGATCAGTATTTGTTTACTTACTTTTCATTAAAAAAAACCAGAAGAGCATGAATTGAAAATCTTACACAAGATTTTAGTTCACAGCAAAAACTCAGTTTAAAGTGGCACTGTGAGAATGAGACCACTTTCCATGCTTGTTAGTATACTGACTTACTTGAGTTACTTGAGTGACTTTGATGTATGGCCTATATGCAGAATTTAACCAGTGTGACCACTTGATCACATGACAGATAAGAACAACACACTGAAAATAAACAGGTGCTGATGGTTCTGGCAAAAATATGATTCTAACAGTTCAGTTCTGCATGCTTGATCTTCTGTATCTATATTTTACTGTTTAGAAGTTATGAGTCATTCTCTAGGAAAAAAAAAAAAAAAACAACCAACAATAAGATAAGTATAAGCCAACTTGCCGTGTCTCCCTGCCAAAACATTTTTTACTTAGCTATGGATACTTTCTGGTTTCTCAAATGAGTCTCCAGCTTTGATTTCACATAGCTATTGATTTTCCAAGTTACAAAAGCACAACTGCATCTTTAATCCACAGTTGCAAAACTGTGTCACCAGGCTCTGCTCCAGTTAACCAGTTATGAAGAAAGTTACAGTTCCTGAACAAGCTTATTTGTCTGTTCTTTGGAGACTTTTTAAACTCCTGTAGAATTCTGGAAAATATGGTTGTAGCTGTAAACAAATAAAAAAAAAATATTTCCTCATCTTAACAGACCAGGACTAGAGAAGCAAACATACTTCCAATTTTGAGGATAACCTGCAATACACCTTGTCAAACTTCCCTACGTGAAAGTGATCAGAGTACCAATATATTTTGTGTAAATGCAAATAAGACATAATTTAAAGAATTTCTCTTTAGGATTAATGTAGTTTTAAACAATCTTTTGAACAGATGAAATGAAACAGGTTTTATTCTCAGAAACTGACTTGAGCTACAGCGTCACAGAGTAATCTAACAAAAAAACAGCAAAGTGACCTCCAACCTGAACAGCAGTCCTGCTGTTGGATCAACCTTCCTTAATTTACTTCAAGACCTGGAAGGAGAGCTTTACAGGAAAGAGCCAAGACCTTCTAACACAAACACAGAACTGAGAAACAGGAAAGCGATTTTTAAGGAGCAGCATCAGCCTCTGAACGACTGCAGTTTTTCAAGTACTGAAAACTGGTGCTGAGATCACTGAACTTTTTTTTTTTTTTTTTTAATATATATATATATATATGGGAATTTCTGGTTAAAACAATAAAGAGGTGAAGTGAAAGCACTACAGAGATACACTAAAGAGGGGATGGCAGGGTAAGGGGAAAGAAAAGAGGGGTTAAAACTCACAAAACAAATCAGTAAATGTATCATTCAAATAAAAGGCGCAACAATTACAGAGAAACTTTAAAGCAACTTACCTCGAGGGAGAGAGATCAAAGAGCTGTTTTCAGTCGGAGCTTGCTCTGGCCCGCCAGGCCCCGGAGGAAGAGGTTCTCTCACTTGGGACATCTGCCAGCTCTCGCGTCGAATAACAGAGAGCCTGCACTCCTCTCCAACAAAACTAACACGCGACCCTGAAGGAACAAGCAAATGAAAAGGCTCGTTAACGTATTTTATGCAGAAAACTCACTGCTCGGGGCGAGGGACTGCGGAGGGGGAGCAAGGGAGCGGCAGCAACTTCGCGGCGCGGCGGCGGACGCGCCCCCCGCCCCCTGCGGCGAGCGCCCGTGGGGCCGGGGGGCGGCGGCCGCGGGGCGGGGGCGGCCGCGGGCCCGGGGCTGGAGCCGGAGCGGGGCGGCCGCGGGGGTGCCCGGGGGGGCCCGTCCTGCGCGGCGGAGCGGGCCGGCAGCGCGGCGCGCCCTACCTCCGCATTTCCTCCCGCTCCGCCGCCGCACGGCCCTCCCCCGCGCCCCGGCCGCGGGATCCTTCGCGCTGCCGCCACCGCGCCGCCCGCCCCAGCAGCCGCCTGCTCTCCCGCCCTGCACCCGCGGGCCTTCCCCCGGGCAGTGGCGCGCACAGCCTGGCACTCACACTCGCTGTCCCCTCGCCGCCACAGTCACTCCTTCTCCATCATTTCCGGACAGTGAAACATCCCACTCCGGCTGGCGGCGGTTCTGCAGGTCCTGCCGCCCGCCAGCGACGGGCCCGCGGGCTGGGCTGGGCTGCGCGGGGCCGGGTCTGGGGGGCCGGCCAGCCGCGGGGCGCCTCGCTGCCCTCAGCCGGGCCGCCAGCCATGGAAATTCCCCCAGGAGACCGAAACCCGTCAGGCAGAAATAGGCGAGAAGGGAAAAAACCCAGAATAATGTGAAAGGGAGGGTTTCCCGGCCGGGCAGGGGTGGCAGTGCGGCGCTGGCAGCGGTGCGGGGCACGGCGCACGGCGCAGCGCTGCTCCCGACTTGGCCGCGGCGCTGTCATCGCCCGCAACCAGTTGCGCCTCGGCGCGGGCAGCGGCACGTGGAGCGCCGCAGGCCCCCGCCTGCCCTTCCACCCCTCACCTGCCCGTCTCGAACTTGTAACACGCACATATGTGCATAAAAAGGACTCCACAGCGGGCACACGGAAATATTGAAACACGAGGAATACAACAAGCAGTTTTCAAAAGTAAAACCCTAGAGTGCAAACTGCTTCCTATGCTGTCATCAGCCAAGTAGTGTTACCTGGACTTTCTCCATATAGGAAATACATTTCTTTCCCATGGCACAAACTGATGCGATCATCAGCCGCGTTCTCTGTTCTTGCCCACACAATGGGGTACTGCAATTATTGCTCATGTATGTGCTGGTGTCCCCAGCCTACATGCTTTGCCCTGCTTGTCACAGTGTTGCCCTATCAAAGTGTTTCCATGTTAAAAATGTATTTTCCTTAAATCTACAAGCAGATGTTTTGTTATGGTTTAGTAAGTATACTTTACTGATATGTTTCATTACAGTGAGATATTTAGATAGATATGTTTTTTGAGAAACAGAAGCAGGAAGACAAAATAACCAAGATATAGACTAGCTGCATTCTAACACACGAGATTAGAAACTGATGGATAGTTATTCTGTTATCACACATGCTAAGGAATATGCTCAGGTATTTAAAGTTCACTTTTTAAAGTTTAGCATTTCCCTGCTGTGTTTGCAAAACAGCCACAACAGCGTGTAAATACCTGACTAGGAGCCAGTTCTGCATGTAACTCCACACCCTTCAGGGCCAACTCAGACTTCAGAAATCATCAGTAATTTTGCACACATTGTATAGCATTATTATTGATATTGTTGGTGCAAAAGAGAACAGTGTGACCAAAGGTGCATATACTTTTCTCTAAAAATACTGTAATTTTAAAGCAATTCAGTAACCTAACTCTTTCTTCAAATTTTTATATAACAAAATGGGGGGGAAGAAAAGAATGTTGTTTGTAGGAAATAAGCTGTGTAAAAAAAATCCATTTGGGGGCACACAAAGTTATTATTGTACTGTGGAATAATAATAATAATGGTTTCAGTATCTACACTTCTCATCTATGAAAACATTGCATAACTTTCCATAGTCCTCTCCTTGCTGTCTTGAGGGCAGAGCGATTGAGACATAAGGTAGAATGACTTACCTCAAACTCCCAAGTGAGTCAGTAGCAGAAGAGAGGTTATGACTCACTCTCAACATACAAGTTGTGTTTTTCCCTCTGAAACTGGAAACATAGCAGAGAGCAGTGGGAGGAGCAATAATTTAGCCAGCCACACCCTGCCTTCAAAATATTTCATTGGATAATAAATGCCTATGAAGGTCTGATACTGTGCAGGGTTGGTGTTTGGGGGTTTTTTTAACCTTATCTATGAAACCATATGGTAAACTCCATGACTTTCAGTTTATCTTCTTTTAAAAGATCATCGAATGAGCTCATCCCCCCAAGGTTCAGTTGTAGAATTTACAGCAACTAGATGAATTAACCGGATCTCCAGCAGACATTGCATCTGATATAGTGGGAGATAATCCTAAACAAAATCAGATTAAGAAAAGGTAAGAGAATTCAATACACAAAAAGCACAATTCACTGAAATAGCACATTAAAAATATTGTACAATACATAATCTATTACATACTAGAGACTGTGATAATTCTAAAAATATGGGTCCAGATGCGGTCACTGTTAATGAGGTATCACAGATGGGCAAAGTTCATTGGCATAAGCGCTTCCTAACAGTACATCATACCTCTAACAAACACTCAGCTAATCTAAAATAATTGTTGTATTAATTTTCTGTATAAAGCATATCATTCTAAAATATTGGAAATTCTCAGAAATTGGGCAGTTAACATCAGCAGACTTTCAAGTTGGCTACAAATATGAGATATGCTGCATCTTACTATAGCAACTGAATTATAGGCTGTTGCACATAAGTATTCCAATATAGTCTTCCATTACTAGACCATAAAATTCAGGTCTTATAGGCAAGTAATGGCAGATTTTGGGATGGATGTCAAGAGAAACTCAAAAGGTTTTTAAATGGAAAAAAGAACAGTTTGTAGGCAGGTAAATATTCCCCCCAAAAACACAAAACCAAAAAACAAACACCTCACAATAAAACTACCACCACCAACAAACCCTCCAATTTTTTTTCTCTATAAAAAAAAATTAAAACACATTTCCATTAAAAGTGCACAAAATGTAGAATATAATCATATATCTTCAGGAGGAAATTGTTTATCACCATTTCCTAGCCTGAGTTCCTACACAAGCCATACAATTGATATTACTTCCAGTCAAAATAGACTTGTCACTGAACAAAAGGAAGTGTTTTAGAAAAAGAATAGTTTTTTGTTTAAAGTAAGCCACAACATCACAAAATTAACTGCTGCAAAGGTTATTTACTCACATTATTAAAATCTGGAGCTATATTTCTAGCTTGAATTCTCCAAGGCAAACTTCTTGTCTTTGTGCTTTTTGGATATCAGATAGTTTGTTTTGGAGGAAGTTGTGGATAGCAGAGATGCTCATCTCAACAGTGCTCTGGAAAATTTGTGCATAAGTCTTCCAATAAAAAATATGATCAATAGCTATTAATTAGGGATGTATGCAGGTCTAGGTACCCAGATTTTCTCCCTATCCTGACATTACTCTTTTCTCCCTAAGGCTACTCTTCAACTGATGCAGATTTCCTTCTGTTAGCAGGAACAGAGGAAGCTGAAAATATTTTCTGTCCGTCTTAACACCCTGGATCACTTAAATAGTTTTGAAAAATGGACAGTAATATTATTGAATCTTTTTATGATTGATTGCTTGTACCTTAGTATCTGTGAATTTAAATTAGCCTTCTGCTATGTCTGAGAATATGATTTTCAACTTTGCAATATGCATTTTTAACGTATCTGTATTGTTCTAAACTTCATTGCTCTTTTCAGTATAAGGATCATGGCAGGATCTCTGTCCTAAATATTTTAAAATGCAGAAATTCTGAAATGGGAAGACTACTTTAGTTAAAAGGGCTAAATAAAAAAACTTGGGGTTAAAACTAAATGATATTGTAAAATAAAAAGTGAATAAAAATATACAAGTGAAGCTTAGAATTTTTTTTTCTTTTAATTTAGATCAAAAGCAGAAATATGTGCCATATATGCATAAAAGCACAGTAAAAAAAAAAAAAAAAAAAAAAAAAAAAAAAAAAAAAGTACCTGCTTTGGAGTACCTTTGGTGCCTGATGTTCGTGGCCTAGCTTGTATACTACCCTTCTGCAAAACCTCCTGTTTAAAGCCATGTAATTTCTCAGGTGCCAGAGCAGAGTTAGTTGCAGCTGTGTTGTAGATGAGGATTTGTACTTCATAAAGCATAAAGTGCTGTGGGATTGACAGTGTCTTAGACACCAGCTGGTCCTAATAGGGCAATCAACCTCTTCTAGACCAAAGAAAAATCCACCTCCAAAGTGCACAAACATAGATACAAATAAATAGTTGAATATCTAAAATGAAATTAGAGACATGCTGATTTAACTCCTTCCGTAACCAGAAACGGAATAAAGAAACGCATTCTCTTTTGGGTAAGCAACTTGTTCCAGTAATGCTATACACTGACCTGGAAGCAAGAGGGTTTTCTGCCATAAATGATACTTTTCCAGGTTTGATGTTTTTCTGCCACAGGATGGACTCCATAGTGGGGAGAAAGGGACTATGAAGCTTAATGACTGCTTTGTGCTGGCTCAAGCTGTCAATTGTGAGTTAAACTCAGTGTAAACATGAATTTAAAATAGGAATAGGGATTTTTCTCCATTTTATTTTTCTGTCTATAGTAAGTATAATAGTATAATAAATATTTTGTTTCTGTAAAATGTCTCAAACACGTGGCAAAGATTTCATTAAAATTGATAAATGATTAAGTAAAACAAATCTCTGAGATTAATTATTTCTGATGTAACTCCAATGAAGGCCTAGAACTTGCATGAAGATGAATTCAGCTCAACAAGCTTTGTCCTGCTTAGGGCGAAACACATCATATGACATGGCTTATGGTAGTTTCAGCTGTTACTTAGCAAGCTCAAGCAAGTAGCTCACTCAAGCAGGTAATAGACCCCATGAAAAATAACAGATCATATATTCAGGCGTGCAAAATGACGTTTCATCACAACAAAATGTCAACTAGTAATTCATTACCTTCCTACAAATAAGTCAAGAAGAAGTATTCAGTATTCGATTACAACTAAACGTACCGAATTGCAACAGTTAATTTATTTGTATATATTCCTTCAGTTATTCAGCTTTTCAGTTAGCAGTTAATGTTGTTCCTTCATGAATAAAGAGTTTATTTGGGATTTCAGAAGAAACTTAAAATTCTGCAAAAAAAAAATGTACTATTTTTTTAATGCATGCAAGATTATTTGGAACTTGCCTTCACATTAAAGATCATCTCAGCAAAAGCAAACAATGGAAAACAGCATCTTTTGAGCTAACGGGGCAGGAATTTTAAGGGAATATTGATTTAAAAGCTAGCTGAACGCAGAATATTGTCATGTGAGCTATATAGACACTTAGTAAATTTATAAGTAGGTAATGAATTTACCTGAAACATTAAGTTCTAACAATCCTAGAGCTGTATTTATAGCATACAAAAAAAAATTAAGCCAAATATTTCTGATGTTTTTCAGGTTAACAAGGCTCCTTTGCTTCTGCAAACAGAGAAGTGTCTGAAGCTGGCATTATTCTACATTAGTATTTTATGCACATTCCTTACAATTGTGAGTATTCATGAAATTTACATTACCTTTTCTCAGCAGTATCAAACTAATCACCAATATCAAATGACATTTAGAAAAACACCATATCTAGAATTCTACAAAAAACCAGAAATATTTCCATGTGAAAAGAATACCTAGTCAAATCTTCCCCAAAATTTTAAAATTAAAATACTAAACCAAGCATGTTTAACAAATAGGGTCAATAATGCAGTGGAACAGAAGACTGTGATATATTGCTGTGTGAAATCATGGTAACGTATCCTGAGTTCTATAAAAATTTGGTTAATTTTGTGCATCTTCAGTATGAATGCATAATACGGAGTACAGTTGCTCCTTTTGAGCTGCTGGAGAGTACACTATGAATGAGTATTAAAAACATTGCGCATTTTATCTTATATTTTCATAATATACTTACTTACTATACTCTTACTTACGTATTGTGTATTATTCCTAATACGTATTCAGAGCACATATTGTAACAGCTCCTTTGGAATCACTAACATGTATTCTGTGAATGTGTATTAACAGCTGAATGCATTTGCATATTATAAGTCCATAATACTGAATGCACAACCTTTGACAAATCTTTGATAAAAAGTCATTGCTATACATAGAACCAGAGTTTATTTTCTCATGCTTCTCACTCACAACTGTGCCATCTTACACAGTTATTTCTCACTCATATGTTTACAACTGAAATAAAAAACAAAAAAAAACCAGTACCACAGAAATTCTGAGAATTATAGTTTTCTTGAAGTAAAGTATTTCATGAGGTTGTTTTTTTCCTCTCTTTGTTCTGTCTCATAATCAATATTTTCTTTCAATGCCTGAATATATCCTCCTAGCTTTTCCTTTTGGTGTCCATATAAATGACTGGACTAAAGTCTTATCATTAAGTGCTCATTCAGATAGTTCATGTAAAATGCAAGTCACAGGAAAAACTAACATGAAAATAAACCTCAGTCAGTTCTACTAGTATTTTTAACTATCATGATTTTGTTTGTTTGTATACTTGCCTAAAATAATGGGGGCTTTTGCCAGCCAGGAACGTACAGTTCTCTACGTTGAACAGAACTAAAATTAAAAAATAATGTTAGAAAATAACATGATTGCAAAACTTCATTTGGATCAAAAAATTACTGTTTGTCTACAGTGACAGATGAGCTTTCTTTCAACCCATGCAAGTAAAAATGGAAAAAGACACCTTATTTGTCTAAAACAAGGAATGAAGGAAAAATAGTCATCTGCCTCAGTTTCTTACTTTGCTAAATGAAATTAATGCAAATCTTGGGTCTAGGTTTGATCTAATTCTATGACTATGCTGCTAGGATAGGGATTTTCCTGAGGAAGAGAAAGAAAAGCTAAGGGCCACTTGGCTTTTCCTCAGTTCCCTTCCTCATCCTATAGAGTTGCTGAAATAACTAGAAAGACACAAGAGGAAATTACCAATATCATTTCAAGGACTGTATAGTCGCCATACTTACTATTAGTTTTAAA